CCGTGTTTTGATTGGTTGACAGTCAACAAAACATGTTTGCCAATCGTTCACACATCAGATACGAGTTTAACAACACTGAAAAGTTGGTGAAAAAGTTGGCAAGAATAGAGGCAAGTTCTATTTGTCACCAACAGTTTGCCAACATGTTTGCCGACTGTATTTGTGCCGTTCACACACACCAACTTGAGTTTGCCAACTTTAGTTTGCCATGTGAAGGCCACTTTAGATTTCCTAGACCCTCAATGGGGGGGAGGGGGGGGGGGGGGGGGAGAGAGGCTTATATATACAGGTAGGCTGGCTACATAGCATGTGCGTATGTGTGGTGGCAAATGGCAAAGTCATGCATGGTTCTACAACACATTTTAACTGATTTATCGGTATTTATCGGTATTTTTGCATCATAGCTTTAAGTGACGCAAGACAATTCTCTTTTCTTACATACCTGCAATTATCCGGAAACTGATAATACTCCATCAATCTTATTTTACNTTACCAGGACCAGCTGACTGGTTTCTTATTCCTCTTTGAATAATCAGGAACATGTGTTTCAAGAATGATTGATTTATCTTGATTCATTTATTTATTTTTTGATGTATTTATTTGCTTAAGTTAGTCAGTTAGTCAGTCATGCATTTACAGTAGATATTTTTTTAAGTACATGTTGATTTTTTCTCATCATTGCAGAGGTCTTGACAGGCTTGAACTTCTGCAGATCTTTGGATTTGTGGTGAATAAACCATCAAGTGTTAATCTTGTTTGGCTAGAGGTACCTATCAAGAGACCTCACTGGTTTGCAGTTCGGAAAATAAATGAAAATTACTATAATTTGGACTCCAAACTCTCATCTCCTCAGTGTATTGGCAATGAAGAGAAACTTGTTGAGTTTTTATCAGAACTTTTGTCTCAACCAGCTGTCCAACTTTTTGTCATTGTTCAAAACAGTGTAGCAAAGAACAGTCTTTGGAAAAGACTATAATATATTTTTATCTAATCTAATACATAGATTAATGCAAAATACCTGGCCACTTCTTTGGGTCCTATGGATGCACATTCCTGGTACACGAAGCTAAAAATTTAAAATATATTTAAGACTGCAGCCTCCACTATACGCCTTGAAGCTTTTTGGAGATCACCTCGCCTTGTCATGTCATTAATGTAAATAATTCTTTTGTTGTTATGTGGCAAATGATGATGTTGATGATGATGATGATGATGATGATGACGACAATAAGAATACCAATAATAGTATTGCTTTATGACTCATCTTACAATGTTATACCTGGTAACTCTCATGCCTTAATAAGCAGGAGTTTGACACTTGTTAGTCTAAAGCTTGTACCTCTTGCCTGCTTACTCCTATGGTCCAATGTCTAATGCCTGGCTAAAGAAAGAGTTATGACAGCCTTAATTGACACACTTTTAATGATAACTTTCAAATGATGCTTCTCCCTGAAATAGTCGGATTTTAAACAAGGAAAAGTACTGTGGATGACATAATTGTGTTTGGTGAAACACATCATGAGATTGAGACCGTGAAATTTGTGAAAAGTCTTCAGAAAATTCAAATTTTTAAGTTTATGGTCGAATCATGTTGCATGGCACTCTCAACAAAACTTTCGTAAGTTTGACTTAGAAAAAGTTGACAGGTATCTAAACTTCCCTGAAACATGCAAAGAGGAAGTGGTTATTAAATGGTTAGGTTTTCTGAACTTTGAATAATATAACTAGAAGTAAATATTTTTGTTTCATGATAGTATAATATTACTCCGTAAATTAATATGTAGTGTAATTTACAACTGGCCAGAATTTACTTTTGCCAGGGCAAACTGACAAGTATTCACGGGTGATCTATAATGTTCTAGCACTGTGTTCGAGCTTGAGAAGAATGGCTGTTTTAGGGAATTCTTTGTAAAGGTACCGTAAGGACTAATTATTTGTAAATATATGAGTGATGTCCAAGTTAGACCTGGTTTATTGCTAAATTAAGGTTTACACAGTTTATACAGTTCATCTTGAAAACCGCTCTAATAAATGTATCAAACAAATGCCCAATCATTTTCATGATGCTAACGGTTACCATACCAACAGTGCAGTAAACAATTAAAACACCCTTAATTTTAGTTTTTAGTGCTTATAACTAAAGAATGAGTCCTCCGACACACCATGTTTATTATCAAATTGTAGTCGGCATGTTAAAGTGACCGTTTAACAATAAATTATAGTGGGAGGGGTTTCAGAGCTACTGTAATTATTCAGAAAATTATGGTGGGTGTAATAAAATTATATAATGCACTTTACATAATTATAATGAGCTAAAAGAATTGTTAAAAATACAATTGTGACTTATATACACCACTTTTGCTGTTAATTGAAGACTGTATAGTTTCTCTTGTTTATCGTTGATCGTCGAATTATAAGCCCGACTATTTTTCAAACGCCAATTTTTTTCCCGATAATACCCTCAGAAAATAGCCGGAAATAGACAGACATTAAATTAGAACCCAGCCCCCACCCATCCCAATGTAGGATTCTCCCCATCGCTTGGTGCCTGGTCCATTGACCAGCACCCNCCAAAAAAAAAATTGAGCAAAAAATTTACCCGGCGCTAACTATTGAAATTTCACGGAAAGTGATTTCGAAAACAGGTCAGAAAGTTTAAGACTGAGTGACTGACTGACACCACTTTTGCTGTTAATTGAAGATTGTATAGTTTCTCTTGTTTATCGTTGATCGTCGAATTATAAGTCCAACTATTTTTCAAACGCCAATTTTTCCGATAATACCCTCAGAAAATAGCCGGAAATAGACAGACATTAAATTAGAACCCAGCCCCCACCCATCCCAATGTAGGATTCTCCCCATCGCTTGGTGCCTGGTCCATTGACCAGCACCCTCCATTCTTCAACGAAACAGCCCTTTCAAGTCTAGTTTTGTATTTTCTGAGCTCCAGATGTGAGTGGTGGTAAAATATTGTCCAATGCGCCTTAGCTCCTCTTTAAGCCAATCAAAGCCACAGGATTCAGTTTTTTCAACCAATCAGGAACAAAACCATAAACAGTCGTGACCTGGCTATCACGCTAATTTTTCCGCGTTTGGAATAGTTTTATTTCCATTTGTTGTTGGAACCATTATTTTCTTCTGTGCTGATTTCTGTTTCGTTAGACCATGCACACAATGAATTTTGATTTTCCGAAACCAACAAGACAATTGCAATTTTTCGGATCCTCTCGGCTAAATTTATGGGGCAACGCTAGTATAAAAGGTATACGTAAAGCGGTTCAATGATTAGGATTAATTATTGCACACCCAGAAAAAAGTAGGGCTAATGACCGTAAAACGAAACGTTTTTCTGTCAGTTCTTATGAGGTATTATATGCGGGCAGACACCAATTTGAAGAAATTAGAAGGAATTATTGATTAGCAATGTCACAACTTTCCACTGATGATCTCCATCTGGCGCAAAGACTCTCAAACAAGCCAGAGAACCTCTAACTTGTGCTAAGACCAGTGTGAATGTCTTGTCTCACGAGTGATCTTGTCAAATGCTAACAGTATTGTGACTTAATGTCGAGGAAGAGGTTTCTGGGGAATTGGGCAGTTCAGAAACCGTATTTTGCAGTGAAATAGTTTGCACCGAAGTACTCAGGAAGTGAAAGAGCAAGATAGACCAAATTTACGTATCATTCAATTTAAAACGAGACCGTGGCGTATCTTAGCAGCATTTCTTTATAGAGCGTCTCCAAGCGGGGTCGAAGGTAGCATGTTCCCTTGATTCTTTTAAAATTTCACTTGCCCCCTCAACTTTTCTCGTCCCAAAAATATTCCTTGCTCCCTTGAAATAAATGACCATGTTCCCTTGTTCCCCCAAACCCGTAGGAGGCCTTCTTTATAATCATTTTCTTCTTTCCGTTGATGCAAAGAGGAAAATTATCAAATTATGTCTCAGTTTATGTTTTCCCTTTCTCAAAGCAAATACGCACACTCTGACCCTTTAGCAATTTAAAATTTAAAGAAACATTTTAAGTTGATCCAGACCCCGTTAACCACGTAAAAAAATTTCTTTCCACCCCATGAGTACTTACCGCCCACCTCTTAAAATCGCCAGCCCAGCCAGAGAACGCTCCATTCCCTATTTTACACCTTTCTTCAGTTTCCTTATTTATTTGACCTCTTATTCTCCCCACTCGGCATCACTTTTTCATCCCGCATTGATCAACGTCGTTAATATTACCATACCAGGCGTGCCTACAGTTTTATTTTTGAGCGTCCACTAAATTTTCCTCGTTTTCAGTAACCTGCGTGGGTCACACGCGCGAGGCGAACCGTGATTCGGTGATCAGAGGGGTGTATACTATACGGGTCAGTTTTAGACACCTTCAATTTTGTCTGTCGCATTACGGAAGCTGAAGATGGCCATCCTACGTCCCCGCCGTCCTGGCAGCCTCGCCTGAGAAAAACAAAAAAAACTTAAAACAAAACAAGGAAAATGCAAGCAACGAAAACAAGGGAAAGAACTGGCCGAGAGTGCGGATAAGTTGAGAAGTGGCCTATTAAGAGAGATCCGCGCTCACAATATACGTTTTTAGCATGTATTATTTTTACTAGCTAGAAAACGAATCACTCAGTGATGAATTAATCTACTGGCCTAAGTAGACAGGCTTGATTGTTTTTGTTTCTTCTTCTACTTTTTTTTTCCGTTGGATTCAAAATTAGAAGTTGGCTAAAACAGAGGCAGTGTGCTCCACAGTATTTTCTATATTTAGTACCAAAGAGGATGACTTTTTTTTTTTTTTTTTTGCGCATTTTAGTATGGAGTGAATATTGCTTTTATCACCTTGACTACTTATCAATATGTGATGTCACACACGCTGTCATAATTTTATAGTTCTGCTTTGTGATTGGTTGATTGATTCAAGGAGCAAACTTGTGAAGTGGATTTTATATACAACAAAGACGGGAAGGAAAGCAATTACAAAACAAAATAGAGCACTGTAATTTTGTGTTATATTTATGTTTTGTTCGCTCCTTCCTAATTCAAAATGTAGCAGGTCCACAAAGTACGAAAGATGTTCGTCGAGTTAACGCGCAAGGATTCGAATTCGAAGATGTCGACAATGGAGAATGGAGGTAGTGTTCGCGCGGCTGCGTTTGGTTTGCAGTCGATAATCGTTTCTCAGTATTTAAAACAAGTATCTACTAAGTAAATTGAGAAGTCATCATGTCAGCGAAGGAAAAAGGGAAGCATAGCACTCAAAACTTGATGGTAAGTAAACGTGTGCGTGCAAGTGAAACCGTTGCAGATCATAGTGTGACAATTGACAATCAGAAATAACTTAAGCTTAACTATCCTCTATTTGCTGCGAAATGGAAGTGAAAGAAGCGCTTGTATCTTATCGACGAAACTTGTACAAACATTCAATTAACTGATCGATGATTTTTCCGTTTCCAAAGGTTGCTGTTCGAGTGAGGCCGTTGAATGGAAGCGAAGTCGAAGACAAAAGCTGCACAGAAATTGTTCATGTGTTGGACGAAAACGTGAGTCTATGGAAGCTCGAGGCCCGTACCAAATTTATCATCTTAGTGAATTCTGTTGCTATGAGGTTACACTTTCATTTCAAAAGTTATATTATTCGTGAAAAAAGAGTCGGAAGCGTAATTTTTCCATGGCAGCTATGCTTTGTGTTACTCGAGTTTGTTGCTTGCATATAAGCATGTTTTAATGGTCCGGCCTTCTGTGTTGATTCAGACTAGTTTTATTGTTAATCTGCACTGAGGGTATTTAAAGCTCAATTTCAAGTAAAAGTTAGCTGAAGCTTGATATCTTAATGTGCGTTTTACTTATAGAGGTTATGACTTAGCAGGTCAGATCAGATTGCAAAAATATCTTCCTTTTTGGCCATGTGATATAATTCTCCAATATAAGCTTAGAAAGTAAACATTGATACAATTTGATAGTTTTTTTTATCAATTTATTTTTCCAGTGACTTCCTCTGCACCTGCTTATATATGTGTTGCATCGTAACTGCAATGTCAAGCTATTTCCTTGATACTTAAACCATAATTCTAAATTCTCAGGAAAAATGTCTCCATTGTAAGATCCGGAATTGTATGGTAAATTCATTATTGCTTCTTGCCTTGTAGGCTACCAGGGAGATTTCACTCCTACTGATTGATCTTGACTCTCAAATTTCATTTCCTTGTGGATCTGTTCATACAGATAATGGATTCAAATCCGGCTGTGTTTAATGGTTTTCTTTTTCCTTGTTTTCTTGTTTCATGTTTCACTTCCTTGTCCTTGAGTTAATTCATCTAAGAGCAGACTGACCCCGCTCCCCCCTCTTCTTAAGTGCCCATTAATCATTGCAGCTGTCATTGATGTTGACATTGCAAATGCTACATCATTTTGTTCCAAATCCAAGCATGGATTTCTCAAAAATATAAATATTAGTTTATTTTTGGCATTCTGGTTCAGGTTGAGATAAAAATAATGTAAGAAATAACGTAAGAAAATTTCACGTAAGATAGGTTGTCATATCCACATATCTTGGAGATTGGTAACTTGTCATTTTCATCATTGCATGTTATTTCAGACTAAGTGAAAGTGAGTTTTGACATACATACTATTATATATATAATTATAGCTGGTCTATCCATGATGTATCTGTTTGGCATGGTACAATACCTCAGTTCTTGTAGTTGGTTATACAAACTAATGGAAGGTTCTTGGACAAAAACTTAGTGGAAATCAACTCCTACTGAGATAATAATTTTTCTTCGCTTTAACTCAATCATGTTTCATTTTCAATCTCTTGACTTTATTCTTCTAAGAGCCAGCTGGTCTCAATTCATTTGCATTCTTAAGTGCGCATTAATCATTTCTGTGCTACAGGACTATTTCTAGCCAAGCATAGTTTCTCAATCATAGTTATCAATCATGGTGGTACCTTGAATTACCATATAGAGCGGTTATCAATAGAGTGTAAATCAATCAAGACCAAAAGACATTTACTATCACTCTGGCCAATCACAAAGGACACAGACATCCAGTGAACCAATCAGAACTTGAAGCAAACACATGTAACGGAGGCAAAGCGCAGGAAAACATTTGCAAGCAAGTCATGATTGGTTTTAGTTTCACTTCTGATTGGTTAACAAAGCAGTGCAAGTTTTACAGATGAATAATTCTACTTGTGTTAGTAATAGCTGCCAAACTAATGCACATGGGAATTCTATCACCTTTGTACTTAAGTGAAAACTGCTCTTATTATGTGCTGAATAAAAGATTTCACCTGTAACAGTTTAGTACATCTAAACACCCATATTTTCTTATTTCTTGTTATGAATAGCAATCAGCAAAATTGTCATCACCACATGTTACCAGCATAATTGACAAAGTAATCTTAAGCCTTTAGCTAATGTTGTCGTAGATGTCTTACACCAGAAACCATTTAATCAGTTCTCCTTGTTGCTTACAACCAGTTTAGTTGCCATGGCAACTGAAATAAAAATATTATTATATTCGTTTTGTTAATAGGTATAGATTTTCTTATTCTAGCACACCTAAGATTTTTGTTGCATTTGACCATAAGTACCAAAAGTGACCCACTTACATGTAGTATCCAGTGGTCAGAATCTTATTGCACAATATCATTTCTTGAGGTAATTAATTTGTACAGAAAGTTTCACACTCTTAGAAGTGAAAGACATATCAATGCTTGTTGTCTTAATCTCAGCTGGTGGTGTTAAAAGATCCAAATGAAGATCAAGATGACATTCTCAGAGCTAACAGATCCAGAGAAAGGCAGTACATTTTTGATTGTGCATTTGGGCCAAGTTCAAATCAGGTAAGCCAGAGCTTTGTTTTGAAATAAACTGAATTTTTTGTAACCCTCTTCTGTGGGAGTTTGTTTAATTATTGTTATATGTGTATCTTTTTTTCTTTGTTATGCTAATATTGTAATTTCAAAATGTTAAGTGCAAAATAAAGTGAAGTTGAAGAAGTTGAAGTTGTCTTGCCTGCTTGCAGAGTTCTAGCCATATCTAATAAAACTGGGCAGTCTATAACTATTAATAAATTATAACAAATTGTTGGGCAACCTGACACAATGCTGGGGTTAACCAACAATCATCCAATCCAGGCTTAGGGAAGCAAACAACATTGCTAGTTGTTGCATGCTGTTGAAATCATTTGTGTGAAAAAGCCATCTCCGACAGTGTCATCAGGATCACTAGAGCCAAGTGAAGACTTTATAATATTACTTTTCCATTCACTGTTCAGTTTCTTGTACTAAATAAAGTTGAACCTCCACTAATGGCCACCTGAGAACAACAGCCACTATTTTTGTCTGGGCGGATGGTCGATACAGCCACCCTTACTTTAATCTCTCTACAGTGGCCAATCTCTCCACAACAGCATCCCAACTGCCAAAATAACCTCTTGACAATGGCCAGTTAATCAACAACCGACAAATGGTGTATACAAAATCCCATTTTTTTATTGTAAAATAATGATCATGAAACTTAAAACTTGATGCTTCCTGCATGTTGTTGATCTCTGTTTCTTTTTGGTTTCTGCTTTATTGATATGTTCTGATTGTGTTTAGTTATGTATTTCTATCCTACAATAAACATTTTTTTAAAAAAATGAAATGTTAACCCTCCCCTCCNAAAAAAAAAGAACAGAAGTCAGATTACACCCTGACCTCCCCATAACGGCCACCTCTTTCCAACAGTCACTTAATAAAATTTAATTATTGATTTGGTACTTTTTTGAAGGCTGAAGTATACAAGACAGTGGCCAAACCTCTGATTGAAAATGTCCTCACAGGATATAATGCTACCGTCTTTGCTTATGGAGCAACAGGTATAGTGCAATTTATAAAATATAGGTGAGTTCAGATGAGAGTAAGTAAGCAGGGTTGTAACTACATGTAGCGTCATCTACTTGTAACAGTGGGAGGGGTGGGGGTGGTTGACAGAATTCTTGAAATTTATGCAAACCCGTGACTACATCTCGGGTTTGCATTAATGCATGTCTCAAATTCTCCAAACCTCCTTGAGTTTGCATGAGGCTGTGTAAACATGGAAAAAGTCCTGATGCATATATATATATTGACTGCTTGATGTAAACATTTTGTAAAAGAACTGAAAATATCCTATATTGATGTTGTTTTTAGGAGCTGGGAAAACGTTTACCATGTTGGGCACTGATAAAGAGCCTGGTATAATGGCACGCACCCTGAATGATCTTTTCTTTGAAATGGACAAGACCAAGGAAGATATGAAGTACAAGGTGTCAATGTCATATCTCGAAGTAAGTGATCTTTTGCTGAAAGTCAGATTATATCTAATTGTCTTAGTGACTGTAGTCTAAGTTTGTGACGATAAGTTATCAAGTTCATGAAGCCTCAGTTACCTCAAAACATCCAGCCAATAGTACTACAAACAAAACTGAATTTATCTATACTATCTAATCCTCTTTACCCTACAAATGCTGTCCTTGAAGGTGAACTGTAATTAATAACTTGAAGGTTTGTTTTTTGATTGGTTAACCATATATCATTAAACCCCTCTCAAAATTTAAGATCAAATCAAGCCAATGGAAAATCTACATCTTTGTCTGTTTACTTATAATATAAATATTCAATCGAGGCTTCAATTTTACTGGGATCATCTTTGGTCTCCACAAACATTTTAATTGATTAATTTTCTGAGTGGCTCAGTTCAAGTAGTGCTTTGTGTGTGTGTGTGTGTGTGTGTGTGTGTGTGTGTGTGTGTGTTTTAATTTCAACCATACCACATTACAGAATGATGCAATTTTTAATAAGTTAATATTAGGAAAACTTTACAATATTTGTGATATGAATATTGTTTTTCCCCCTTTATCTTATAGATCTACAATGAAATGATCCGTGACTTGTTAAACCCATCTTCTGGTTTCCTTGAGCTGCGAGAAGATGGTCGGGGAGTTGTAGTGGCTGGGATCTCTGAAGTTCAAGCCAAGAAAACTAGTGAAGTCAGTATGAAGTCATCTCTTTCACCCCAAACATGCTTCTGTTACACTATTACATGTGCACTCCACTTTGAAAAAACCTTACTGTTGTGGAACCTTTGATCCATGTCTTACCAAAAAGGTTTAATTCTGCATTATGTACATGTCCATGTATCCACACGCATACCTGTGGTTTAACATGGAAGTCAAACATCATATATCCATCCAGTCAGTCCATCTGTCCATCCATCCATCCATCCGTGCATCAGTCAGCCAGTCAGTCATGCAGCCAGCCAGCCAGTCAGTCGGTCAGTCAGTCAGTCAGTCAGTCAGTCATGCAGTCAATCAGTCAGTCATTCAGTCAGCCAGCCAGCCAGCTAGCCAGCCAGTCAGTCAGTCAGTCAGTCAGTCAGTCAGTCAGTCACACAGACAGACAGTCAGTCATGTAACATTAACCTTATTCGTTTATATCTAATTTTAAAATGTTAATCTATTTCTTTAACTGGAATGAAGGTGATGGATTTGCTTGTAATGGGAAACAAACAAAGGACAAGTGAACCAACTGCTGCCAACAAAACTTCATCAAGATCACATGCAATCCTTCAGGTACGAGATTCTTTGAATTGTTAGAAGGGACAGTATGCCAAGGTCTATCACACTGGATTCCCCATCAATTCGTAACATTTTGGGAAGAGCCACAGAGAACTGTTAGTGCCAACTTTATTCTTACTAATATACGCTAATGGGTACAATTCATACAGTTCATCAAAGAAGGTTTGCACTACTTGATCCTTTGACAGTCTCTTAAATGTTCCTTCAGTTGGTATCTGATCATGCAAGGGACTCCTTATTGTCAACATAATATGCAGGAAGCCAGGCTTAAACGTTTTGGTGATTCACACAATTGGTGTAAATGGTGAAAGTGGTTTATGAAATTAATTATTAAACTGAAGTTAAGCTTGCATTCTGCTTAACCGTTTGTTGCATATGGCACAAAAACTGTCATGGGATTTTGAAACATGTTTTATTAGTTAACTCTACAATGATTGTAGTGTCAGACAATGTCATGCAACGAAAGTTGTTTGCGATTTTTGTATGAAGCAAACAGTTTACCACAAAATTCACATGGGACAAAGTTGTACCCTCTAAACCGGGCCATAGACATTCTCCCAATCTATGTAAAATTGTTTTCCTATTCAAGCGTAGCCTCCTATGCAGAATGCATTTTGGGCTCATCACACAGTTTTTCTCTGTGGGGGAGAAGATTGTGCAACAAGCCCAAATAGTGTCTACGTAGGAGGCTAATTCAAGCCCAGGGATGTACATGTAGCAAAATGCATTTTACATTTCACAATAGGTAACAGTCACTCAGAAGAGTCGTGTCAAAAATACAATTGATGAATTCAGAGTTGGAAAACTTTTCATGATTGATTTAGCTGGATCTGAGAGAGCTGCACAGACCAAGGTGAGTAATCCTGATTTAAAATAGAAATTCAGAGATGCCAACTGGAAAAAAAATCAAAATCCAGGAGATCACCAATTTTACCTTTTTTGACCCTAAACAAAAGTTGTTCAAAGTAGAACTCAGCCAAATGAAACCACAAAAATGCATCAAATTTCCAAAATGTTCCCTCAACATGCCAAAAATCGACCAAAATATGTCTGAAAAATGTCTTTTATGTACTTTCATTCGTATTGTCCAGGAGATTTGGTGACCCGTATGGGAGACCGGGGATTCGGTTTGTACTCGGGAGACTCCTGGATAATCTGGGACAGTTGGCATAGATGGCAGTTCTCCCTACTGCTTGAGCTGGTGCTGGGGATTTCATGCTTTCTTGTGTTTGGACCTTTTTAGCTTACAGTAAAGAGGTAACTTCTTTATTTCTAGAATCGTGGCAAAAGGATGATTGAAGGAGCACACATCAACCGTTCCCTGCTTGCTCTTGGAAACTGCATCAATGCATTGAGTAAGTGCAAACCCTAACTTTCTATTTAGTAATGCAGAAACTGATCTCAACTGGCCACTGTTTCCTTTTGTTTCAGGTGAAAATCGTGGCCATTACATTAACTACAGAGATAGCAAACTGACAAGGCTTTTAAAGGTACAGTATATGTCACTTAACTAATGGTAAATTGTTCATCGTAATTATGATCTAATAACGCGGTCAGTGATATTTGTTCATGGATCTTAGTCACTACTGTTTCTTGAAGTTACAGATTTTAACAGACTGACATCTGATTGTCTATGTTCATTAGTGGGTGAGTTCAGTAAGTGACATTTTGTTCAAGGGAAGCAGTAACTTTTTTCCCTGAGCAAAATGTCACTACCCAAACTTGCAGCTAATGTACTTACTAGATGGATGCCAGTTCATTTTTTTGCATCACAAGGAGTTTATGTGTTATTTTTGTGATTATTTGCCTTGTTCTCAAGCCCTGCTCTATTACTTTGTACTGTGAGTAGGTAATAAGCCTTTAGATGCTGACTTGACACTTTTTATTATGTAGGACTCCCTGGGTGGTAATTGTCGAACAGTCATGATTGCCCATGCAAGTCCAGCAAGTGGGTCATTTGAGGAAACTCGCAACACACTTTTGTATGCAGACAGGGCCAAGAATATTAAAACCAATGTAAGTAACATTGTTAATGTAACTTTATTTTTAGCCCTTTGATAAAACACTTCGCCTTGAGTACATGCTGCTGTAGTATTCTGGAAGATCTATGAAAAAGAAGATTTGGAATAACTCCAATATTAATTTTTGTCTTACATGTAGCAATAACTGCTAAGACTGTATTAATGGCGATACTGTAGACAAAGTATTTGTCCAAAATTTATCCAGAAGCCTATATAATTCGTAACTAGTATCAACTAAAGATTAAAATAATTATTGAAAATTTCTCCAGAGTGGCAATTTTGATTTCTTCACGGGTATACATGAACTGTCACAAAGTCAACTTCGATGAACTTTCTTCATCCTTATGATCCTGCACTTCTCCCCAAATATGTGTTGTATTTTCTCCATAGAATCTTTTTGTCCAATTTATTTTTGTAACTATTTGAAAGAGGTCAGCAATATAGAAATTCAGAACATGAAATTTCGATAACCAGCAGAGACACTGTCCCTACATGTATCATTTCTATTTAATTAATGTTGTATTTTTTTCACCTTAAACTGTCACAGGATTTTGACTCACGTTTTAAAGTACATGTTAAAATATCGTGATGTAACGTTTTAAAGTACGTGTTAAAATATCGTGACATAACTCAATCTTGTTTAACAATAATATATCGTGACATAATATAACGTGACATTATGTAACGTGACATAACCATGGTGATATAATACCATGTGACAATGTTTATGGTGACATTATCTATAAAGAAAAAGTCACCTAAAACAGCAATCGGTAAAATATTTTGTAGGAGTGTGAACTCTCAAACTCTTAGTAATGAAATATCTACTGTAGTGGCAATGGTTCATTTCGAGCTAAATTTTGGGCTAGTTTTGTAAACTATACTTAGCATAAATATATCAACAGATTGTACACTCTTGTACCTTGTAATCTTGAGCCTTAAGTGTTTAAGAGTGTCTATGATCCTCCCTTAAAGCTTTGTAACGTAAAAGTAGCGTAGATGCTTTCCTTGTGGGAAAATACTTCAAGCTCGTTTCCAGGGTTGCCTCTCTATCTCTCGGTTGTTCTTGGGAACGGAAAGAAGAGAGACCCTGGGAACTAGGAAACTACAGTTTGAAGTGCGAAGTAAACATCTTGCATCCTAAACAAAATCAAGTGACGCGTAGAACAGAATCCTTTATCTACTAAATTTACTCATGAGTGCAGTTTCTACAATTTTCCTTTAGTTAATGCAAAAATGAAAAATATGCCCTCGTTGATGCCGTAGTTTATTGCGTTGCTACTCTCAAGTAAACGGCATTTTGCAAGGCTGGTTAGTCTCATGAAAACGTCCATGTACAACCTCTATGAGGTTAGTACTAGTCCACAGTGCTAAAGGCACCGCATTTACAGCTGCTACCAAGATGTGCCTTTTCCATCTTCTTCGCCAAACAGCCATTACAGCCATATTCTGATAGCGAGTCTCGATCGCTAGAGACACGCTGGTGAAAAACCACTCGATCACCAGCGGAACTGAAGTTCGAATCGCAAAAGAATGCAGCAATTTCAATAGGGAATCATTGTGTAGGTAAGTTAACTGATAAAAGTGCAAAAATCCATTAACGGCCACTATTGCAGTCGATTCATACAACATGCTCATGATAGCGATATCAGCCATTAGTCTCTCACGGCGAGGAGTACGAAAACTTCCCCAAGGAGCTGATGTTCTTTTCCAAATCATATGGGAAATGTGATCAAATATAACCATGGTGCTTCGTTCTATAACTTCTGCTGAGCCGTGAATTAGTCCAAGAATGGCGATAGATTCCACACTATTAAGATCCGCCTGTAATACTCGAAACATAACCGCTGAGCCAAAATACAACGGGACCAACAAGGCATAGGAATAACCCGGATGGGTTATGTTCCATAACCGCTGAACGGAAATTCGCGCGATCGCTTTGACTATGACTCCAATGATAGGAGCGAAGAGTGCGATTAACAGTTGGCCTTCCTTGTGCTGTTTGTTGTACGCTGGGTAAATAAAAGTCACTAGCATTGTACCAAGAAGGAAACAAAAAGAACCGGGTAGAATCATTTGTATCACAAAAGTCACCTGCTGTCTTCTTGACCGCCGCATACGGAAGTGACTTGTTAGAAGACGGATTTGTTCGCATACACTCAGAAAAAATATGATGTCGAGTACACTCTTTTGAAGCAATGAAATCTTCGAATGAGATAATTCTAGGGCTTGTAGCGCCACACGATAAACGACATCTAGAAAAAAGCCGAGGTAACAAACCAGAAAGAGTTTTCTTTTCACCCCCATCAACTGGTATGGGCGAAAAAGGAATAGTGTGGTTGCAAAGTACCACATGTAAATAAAAGCACATGAGATTATACCACAGATTGTTCTCAGCCATTGCACATGTAATGGAATTAACGTCTTTGGGGAAAACTGGCAGGCGAGTTTAGTTTTGTAAGAAAGATAAGTGATCAGCAAGTATGCTGAACCTATGATGATGGCAGTTAGTAGAGAAATCGAAGCTCCAATGTACATTGATTTACAAGCTGTACGGAGAGCGGATGGTCTGAGTCGCTTCCAAGCCATTGCTCTATCTTCATCTTGTTGATCTTCCAGTGTTTCTTCATTTTGGTCTGGAGAGCATGCGTTTATAACCTTTATATCGAGACGGCTAGACGCCAGATAGTCCAAGCTTGTGGCTTCTCTGTCGCTGTATTCTTGATAAATAAACTCATCAACAGGATGATAATACCATTCTCGACCTGTGCTTTGTAGAGGATCGTAGCCAAAAGACTCTGCAGTGTATTCAGGTTCTTGTGGATTGTAGTGCTCTGTAACTCCTCGTGTAAAACTGAACACGATATGACCAAACACCTCTATCAGTGTGCTGCTACTCATGTCGACTTTTAAAATAAGTTTTCTTAGTTTGCTTCAAGATTTATACTCCGCGCTCCTCCAAGTAGGTGCTGTTTCAGCTTTGCCGGAGGAATATCACTGAGATAGTCTAGTGTCAGCTTGGCTTGTGAAGCTACGTTTTCACAGCGTGCGGTGTCATATCATATTATGTTAGGGATATTTGCGACGTTTACTTTTTAACTAGATTAAGCTCTCAGTGGCTTACTTGGTAATTGGTCTTTATTATATGTGCCCGGGCATGTAGGTTTTATTGAAAGCCTCCATATTTTATTTCTGTTCTTTCTCTCCAGAAATAGGGTAGACATGAATAAGTTCTTCCTGTGAAATTGAGCTACCGATTCTTATTGTCCAATCAAACACTAGCACGAGTACTCGCGATTATTCCGAAAATTTGAACGTCAAGACGACACGGAGTAGAAGAGCTTGAGTTCATTCACTGTATACATGTATATATAAGCCATTGGAATTTTGGCCGAATGACTTGTGTGGTAAAATGTAAAAACTAAGGTAAAGCCTCGCAAATCTTGTTATTTATCATAGCATTTGATTGCAAACACAAGGTGAAACAGGAAAAAACAAATAGTTCAAAAAGTGTCCTGAAGCACTAGAAATGTTGAGATCTCGTCATGCTCGTTGAGTGAACAATACATTTTATAAAGAGCATGAAATTTTTCAGGTGTCTCATTTTGTAGACACAAAAAGACTTAAAGTTTACAGACCTTAGGAAATAACGGTATTTGTTTCCTGTTTCGGTTAAAAGGTTACTATTTCCTTTCACGCATGAAAGGAAATAGTAGATGTCTACACGCAGGCTATATTTCAGCTTCCACCTACAATCCCGGCCAAAAATAGTTGGCACACTTGAGCTGTGTCACGTATCCCCTATCCCCCCTAGTCAATGTTGGAAAATGTCGCGTTTTTTCAACAAAATGGGAAAAAATCATCTGATTATCATGACCATTGTAAGTGGGAGAAGGGGAGAACTTGCTTGGTGTCTTGACTTTTTTTTTCTGGGTTGTAGTTTGTATCTGTTTTAGTCTTCTGTGGTTCCTCGTTACCAGTGCTAACGGATTTAGCGGTTAAAAACAACAATTTTGGAACTTCCTTTATTATCGCTCTGAAGCGGATGTCATTCGTCTGAAGCCAAATTGCAAATCATTTCAAGTTTTAAATCGTTGACGGAAAGCGACTGGGGATTCAACACGAGACTAATGACTTTGTGAAAACTCTCTCTCAAGATATACCACCCGTCTACAATCGTGTGTCCTTCTCTCTTTTAAGCGATGAACAAAATGCAAACTGTGTAAACAATAAAATTAGCTCTCTGGTAGCTTTGAACCACCGGGAAATTCTGGCGAATAGAGCAATTATTCCACTGTTGGACATGAGATGACTAGCCAACTCGGCACTACGCACCTCGTTGCCTTTCTATCCTCTCATATCCATCGTGCGCTCGTGGAGTAATGGTTAAATAGACACGAGTGTTTTACTGGAAAATACACCACTCGTAAAACTTATTTGAAACTATTTCAGGGACCTCAGTGGCGCATTTTCCATATCCTCACCACTGAAGAAATCGATGACGTAATTTCCCGCTTTTTTTTTCCGTGGTTGTTTGTCTTTATCATAAAAACAAAATTACTCGGTGGCTTGGGAATATGAATTTTACTTACTACTACTTACTTACTCTTGGTAAAACAGTATTTTACGAACGAGCGCATTTTACTAGAAAATAAAACTCATCTCTTCTCGTCAACATATAATATCCTCTATTTATGTCTACATAATCAATGGCGAGAACAATAAATGATGATATCAGTTATAGTGATAATAAAAATTGTAAATAAAGTCATAAAGATGGTCCGAAAAAGGTTAAAACCCCCATACAAGGCAGACCACTTATTTTAAATTTTAGAATCTCTTGAATATATACTTCATTAAAAATCTCTTAAACCAGGTAGTGAGTTCCGTATCTCGACGATTCTTTTCTGTTCTACAGATCAAGCCAAACCAGTTCAGTGTGTCTTACCACATTGCTCAGTACACCAACATCATTGCTGATCTGAGAAAGGAAATCTTTCGCCTCAAACTCAAAATTTCTGAACATGATACGGACAAGTGTTCAAGTAAGTAGTGACTATGTTGAAATTTACTCTTAAGAGGTTAATGAAATTCCAAACCATTCTTGAAATGTAAGGTTAAGCTCTTTAAAAAAATCTGAGGTGGTTGATCAGAGGTTAATGCGAGGATGTTACCCCCCAGCATTAAATTCGCCGGTACCCATTTATACACCTGGGTGGAGAGAGGTACTGTGAGAGTAAAGTGTCTTGCCCAAGAACCCAACACAATGTCCCCAGCCAGGGCTCAAACCCAGACCACTTGACTAACCATGAAGCCTCCGCGCCTTCCCCTCGTGGAGGAATGGAGACAAAGTGACAGACAAAGTGGAGATCGAAATGCGTAAAATACAAAACAATATCTGTGTGAAAATGGAAAAAACCCTTCATGACACTGTATGTGTGCGGTAAAATTGTCATAATTGCCTTTGCTTCGTCAGTAACCCGATTTGAAAAACAAACCATCAATACTAGTCCGATTAAGCAAATTAAATCACTTTCTTGCTTTGTTTTTGCAGCAAAAGGGCAGGAAAAGGACAAGAATCCAGAGGAGATGAACAAATTGCGGGACCAGCTCGTCAGTACTTTTAAAGAGCAGATGGACATCAGGTTAGACTTAGAAATTTTATTCAAAGGAGACCTGTACGCTCTGCGGACCTATTTTATTTGTTACGGCTCAGATTGCTAGCGCCGTTGATAGTCTGCGCCTCATAACTTGTAATCTGTCCATAAGCAGATGCGGTGTGTTTAGCTGGTTTTGTTTATTTTATTTTTCTGTCTATGAGTACATGTGGTCTGTACTATCATCGTTACGAGTGTTAACAGGTGCCGTGGGTTAAAAAATGCTAACCTGGATCATCAGAATGAAAGACGAACCACCTACACCAGGTTATTACAAGCGGGCCTTGTGACGCCATTCTTTTGTGCGCGCATGGATGCACTTTTGGCAGAAATATATTAAAATGTATAACAGTATACCTTCCCTTTCCCTTAGCTCCGTATCTATGCTCCAGGAGGAGCAAAGAACATTAACGAATACTTTCTCTAAAATCAGCCCCAACTCAGCTGTTTGACCAACAAATCAGTAGTCCTCATCTCAGTGTTAAGGGAATTTTGTTTTGAACTTTGGTTTTTCTCTCAAATTTCAGACGTAAACTGATTGAGCTTGAAGACGCCGCCATGCAGATTTCACTCGACATGAACAGATACATGTTGGTGATAGATGAGTAAGTGTGCAGCAGTCACAGATATGCTGCAAGGCCTAGCTCAAAGCTTTGAAGGAGCTCACTCAGGGCACTTTGAGTTACTTTGGCCACCTACAAAATTGCCTTTAAATTGAAGGACGCCTGAAAATATTAGTTTACTAAGATAAAAAAACACCAAAGAGATAATAATAAACCATTAAGGAACAAGGATGATTAAGGATGGAGAAGATTAACGCGGATTGCAAACGAAGTTACAAATAGGCTTAACTTTTCAAGATGCGCAAACCGTGACGTCGCTCCTTTAACAGTGATGAAGATAAGTGAACTTACTGTTTTGTTAAAATATGTTCATCCACTGCGAGCTACACCACTCTTTCCGAAACCTCCAGTACCTTTTATCTTCAGTGCTTCTTTTTCAGATTGTCATCCCCCACATTTTTGAAAGGCTGCCGCCCCAGGATTGACAAACGTTGATCGTAAGTTACTTTCTTTGCAGATGGGAACAAGAAAAAGCTAGAAGAGGTGTACGCAAAAGTACTAGACGTTTATCAGAGAAATCCGATGATTCCGAGCTTAAGAATGACCTAACAAACATGGCTTCTATCGAGGATGAAAACGGAGAGAAAAACGTCGACTCTTCAACACAAGACAAACATTTACTTGGTGAAAAACGCCGTGAAGTAACATCACTGTCGTCCTCAGATAGCTTGGAAGATGTTGAAAACAAAGACTTGGACACTGAAAAAGATAAGAAGCCGGAATCTAACAATGACGAAGGCGCTGGGATTGCAGATCCCGAGGAAGTATCTTTTGCGCGAGAGGAGATTAGCACGTTAATCGCGGAAGAAAAACGGACTTCAGATCTCAAAGCTGATCTGCAAGGAAAGCTTCAACAGACCAGGAAAGAGGTGGAAGCTTTGGAAGAGCTCCTACCCAAGAAGATAAGCAGCGAAGAAAATCGAGAAATTTTGGGATTGTTGTGCAAAGTTCACGAGCTGGAGATAACCAATGCGGAGCTCCAGTCTAACTCGTTGCTCAGAGAGAATTTACTGCGTCAGAAAGACTTGGAGATGAACAAGTTTGAGTCGCGACAAAGATTGTGCGATGAAATCATTCAAATGCAGAGAGCGGTTATTAATGGTAAGTATACCTTCCGGACTTGTGATGAATCGCTTAGTCGTAACTCTTTATAATAATAATAAGGACTTTATTCATACTGGAAAACAGGAAAACCTTTCTGTGAATCAACGAAGGTTGATTGAGTGGTATTAATCGGTGATCAGTAGACAAAAATATACAAAGAAGTCATCGTTATTGTCCGGCAAATACAGCTAATTTACAAAATATCAATTAAAGTCTAGAAAAACCTAAGCATTACTCGTACAAATATGGCTGGCGCTGTCCATGTTCATCAATTTTTCTTTCGACTTGACGTAGTGTCCCAAAAGGCTTTGGCTTGCCGCGGTTTTCGTCAAGCTTGTTTCTGAATTTAAGTAGGAGTCATTCGAATTATAATAGGAAAAAAGACGCGTAGTCAGTCATTTTCTTATTTTAAGGTGGCCGAACACAGTTTTCAAGAGCCTCTGCCTAATTCACCATTACTTTAAAGCTATTTATGCTTTGGCGCCCGTTTTTTGCAAGAGTCA